GGGGAAGCAGCTTCTAGTGTGAGACACAGAGAACGAGACAGACAAGTCCACCAGCTCAACGATGGACAAAAGAGTGTGCGAGTGGGTTTATGGGAGAGAGAAGGAGTGAGGAATGAAGTAGAGAGGAAGGACAAGCTGTGTTTTTGGGTTCAGAACAATGTGTGTGTGTGTGTGTGTGTGTGTGTGTGTGTGTGTGCGTGAGAGAGATGTATGTGTGAGAGAAAGAGAGAAAGAGAGAGAGAGGTGGGGAGTGGAAAAACACACAAGAACTTGAGAAAGTGTTGAAATGTTTTATGTCTGGAAGCACGGGAGGTTCAAACCCCTGGAGGTAGAGGGCCAGAGCAGGAGGTTGGAGACTAAACACCACACAACACCACTGGGACCGTATGATAACTAACTAATTAAAACTGGGAGGCCAGTGCTGATAATCAATACTGTTTGTTCAGGAGGGTAGGGAGGGAAATTTGGTATCAGATGGTCCTGCGTGTGGGACGGATTGGAGACGGGGCCAGACGCTGATGGTGGAGGTCGAGATGAGTTGGACTCTGAAAAGACAGTTTCTCTGCACAGCTGCTTTGGCCTGCAGCGAGAGGGAAACATCTGCATTAACCTCAGCACCACGTGAATAGGAATGCGAGGAGCACCAGAGAGAATGGTGGGGAGGGAATGAACGGGAGGATACGAGAATAAAGCTGCGTGCCTCTAGCGTGACTGCAGTGTGACACAACTGCTTTCCGAGCACTGCGAGTGTGTGTGTGAGCCGGTGACACAATGCTGCCAAAGCCTCTAATAAATCCAAACTAATCTAGCAGTTGGACATTGCAGCTCAGGTCTCCGTCTCCTTCCTGTCAACGCGTTCTGTAGAGCAGAGACAACTGGCAGACAAGCTGTGTGGCGGCTCCTACGGGAGCAGACGGAGGGGCCGTGAATGGTGGAGGGTCAGGTGGTGCCCTGTCAGGTCAACAAGGTAACGCAGAGGATAATTACCTGCTAGTGCACTGAGTCACGCAGCCAAGTCTGCTCTGATACCTCTCCCTTCTCCGATCACAGCCTCAACTCAACAGTTAAATAAGGGCAAAGCTTCGACACGACACAGTGCTGAAACTATGAATTGGTCACCATGTGCAACATCGTGGCTCCAATTTGGTGAGATAACGACCAAAATGTTGTATACTGCAACAGTGAGAGACGGAGAGCTGAGGAGCTTTGTTTGTGTGCTGCTTTTCAACTCCGTTTAGTGAAATGTATCACATCTGGTGCAGATTAACAGCAGCAACACAGCAATTAAATGCACCCGGGTAGCGCACTTTTTTTTTTCTTTCAATGGCTTGATATTTTTTTCAACACTTTTAATTTACAACATTGTGATGGCAATTGCACACTGAACGCGACCAAACTCTAATTATGTATGTTTGAAATTACAGCCTTGAATCTTTAAAAAGTCTGATATTCTATATACTCTCTTTTTGTAAACAAATTATTCCGGATCAGAAACGGTTTATTGCCAAGTAAGCTGTACTTGGCGTTTGGTGCATGACAATAAACACAGAGCAATAGTATAAAGACAAAATAACAATATAAAAAATGACAATAGAATATGATAAACAAATAAACAATAGAAGAGTTTGTTATTAAAGTGTGGAATGTCTAATTAAAGTGATTTATTTCCTTTGTTTCAGTAGAAACAAATGGTCTTTGGGCTGAATGCCAGAGATTAAGAGAGTACTAAGTGACAGGCAATATAATAATATACATAATGTACACACAATATGTATACTGTTGCTTTCTTATCCTTTAACTTAGAACAATATCATGATAAGATCGCTGAAGATGAATAAGCCATGTACTTAATTAAGGACCAGCCCAATAGGTACACACACACACACACACACACACACAAACATTTCCTCACACTCACCTCAAACTACGTTAATCTGTGCCAGACTGCATGAGTACAGACAAAGTAAGGAAGCGATGACTAACACATCTCATGCTAACATTTTAATGTAAAAGATTACAAACAACTCCACCCACACAAACACAGGTGTTGATGCTGCTACCGTTTCAGTCAGCCAGGATGCAAATAGCAGACGTCCAAGTCACAGCCGTTTCCTGTGGTCTGGGAGGTGTAAATGGGAATTTCAGGTTGGGCGTTTTGAGTGTTTATGCGTGTGCCTGGATGGTGGCTGGCCTGAGAGAGAGTTTAACTTGAACTGAACTGAACTGTAGTGCAGCACTGGCAAAAGAAGCGGCCAAAAACCCTGGAAGCTGTGGTTTGTTAAAGAGGAAATGCCTTAATTCACAGTGGCTGAGGGCTAATGCTGCCAGAGACCACTGGGACTACATTAAATAATAGTTACAAGAAGGATGTGTATGTGTGTGAGCATAGATGTGTGTGCAGACAGACAGATTTTTATAAATGTGGCAAGTGACATGTTAAAATGCCCCCTTTTATTATTTTATCTTTGTTTTTTTTTATACTTTTCTGTCGCCAACTTGAGGGACAGGGAATGTGCGTGTTGCGTTCACTTGCTGGCGTGTCATCACAGCACGTCCGGCACACACCCAGTGCCACGGGTGACCTGTGTTTCGTGTAGCAGCAAACATTCTGAATGTATGCTGTAAGCCATTTACACAGCTGGGCTTTTAAACTGAGGTGACTCAGTGAGAGGACGTCGCTGGTCTGGGGTCTGTCCCAAAGCCCCACGCCCGCCTTAGCTGGCAGCAGGACTGGAGTCTGCAACACTCAACAAAGTGTAGCAGTGGCACTCAGGAAGGAAGAGGAAGATTAAAAATATTAATAACAAGTGTGGTGGACCGAGATATATTCTTTGAGTTAGTTTACATTCTATCACTGTGGCTTTATGATGCATCTATAGAAAAATCAAATATATTGTCATAGTATTCAGCCTTATATACAATTACAAGTGCACGAAAGCAGGCCTCTCAGGAAGCAGCAACCAGTGTACAAAGTCTGAGTAATGCACCTTGGCACGGCAGTTATGGAGACATGCAGAGCTTTGAGGGACAGTTTTTAAATAAAAGCCACACTCATTTTGCTCTCAGACGACCTAAATAAGAAAACAAACCCGCAATGAGCAAATGCGGAGAGGAAGGAATTTTGGAAAGGAAATAAGTCAATCCATTCGATAGCCATCGCTGACTTCTCTGTGTCTCCCTCTCTTTCTCTCCTGTGAAGGGTAATGAAACAGATTATTATCTGCTGTTTTGAATCAAGCTGCCTGGACACACATTTGATGACAAACCTAACAATGAACCCTACTGACAGATGCAACACGTGGCAGATAGTGCACACACAATTCAATGACAAAATGCCCACTTCACATCTAAATGAGTGATGCATTTTTAAAACACTCCACGTGTGCCATTATGAGGAAGACTCAGCCTGGACAAGTGCCATCAGTAATTACATTACCCACAAGACTCGACAGGAAAAAAGCTGTGTGAATTTTTTTCTCATGATCCATCTAATATATTAAATTAAATGTTCTCTCCAGCTGATGTGACCCATCTTTCCTCTCATTCTCTGTCATCATCCTTGCAAAAAGAAAGTTGACGGAGTCCCAACCATCTGTCGTCTGTCTTTCTCTCTTTCAAAAGCTCCCTTCTTCCTTGTCAGCTTACTGTGGCCCCGGCCCTCGACTTTGCGAGTCTCTGTGGTCAAATCCATCTGTGTCACAGCCTGTCAGAAATAGTCACAATGCAGCAGCTCCCGCAGTAATTACACAGTGCAGTGAGTGGAGGAACCAGTGTCACCTCCCTCCCTCTAGCCAAGACACTCCAACAACGATCTTTCCAGGATTGAACGCAAACTTCAAACTCCTCGGAGAATTTCACCAAACATTTAAATGCAATACCTGCTCGGAATTGCATTTGCTATTTTCTCTGCCAAAATATAGTAAAGGTTAATACACGAAAATGAAACACAGCTACTTATCTGGAACATAATTGGGGCAACGATGTGTTCATCCATCTATAAATCTGAGACCGCCTGCTAATGTCGGGATTATTTGCTCTTAACAACCTCTGATTGTTGCCAATAGCAATAAATTTGTCAGACTGTTTGATTTCAATAAACATTATAATGAGATAAGCACATTGGTTCCAGGAACAACATTTAACAATCAATAACGAAACAAAACTATTCAATGTGAGTGATGTGCCTCTCACAACCCAACAGTGGACAATGTGACCAACTGAAACTAACTAAACTAACTTTGGAGTAATTGACTTGCATTATTTTGGTCTTCTGAGTGTCTAAAGGGATGTCTCCAGATTAGAGTGGAGGGGAGGACCCAGTGCACTTTGAACCCATTCTGCTGTTGACTTACTCATTCTTTAGATAACACATTGACATATTAGCTGCTGGCTGGTTCATCATCTGCAGAACCTGGACATTAGCTGGTTGCACAGCTGTTTAACAGAGACGGACACTGGAATGTGATACTCTTGGTATTATTATTATGTTGTAAAAGTGGTTGTTGTGCTGGTCTCCTGTGTGTGCATGTATCAGAAAAATACAAGTGGAAGTAACAAGATAAAAACCAACAACTATCACCTTTGACTCATAGATATCCTTTGACAGAATGATATGTCCTAAAAACCAGCAGTGTGTTTACTGCAAGTATTGCTCTCAAGTTGTTGCAATGGCCTGTAGAGATGTAGCAACCCATTTAATAACAGCTACAGAAACCCTCAAACCAACAATGTAAAAACAGTGAGTGTCCATAAGAAAATCATTCGTATTTCTATTTTAGGGACTTCTAATGTCTCTGTCAAAAAGAATCACCTAATGATTAAAAATACAGTTTAGTGTGGTATTTTTTTTATAATAAAAATGTTATTATTAAAATGTTTCATGAGAATTAAGACTGACTGGACTGAGTGGTGCATAACAATGACTTTAGTATTTTTCATCATCTACGTCTATAAATCCTGTAAAATATTCACAGTTTTTGGTGAGAGAATAAGAAGCCTACCCAAATTGACAAAGCTCATGACCATGTCTGCGTCGTTCAAGAAGTTGTTGTCTTGCATGCTGGCTATCGGGGGCCCCTGGGTGGTGAAGACGGGCTTGTAGGGATAGGAGTATCTGTCCTCGTCCCCCTCTGTGGACATGGCGTTGTACAAGTCCAACATAAACATCGGGGCAGCGTTGTGCTTTCCGTGGAGGTGGGGTCGCGGCCGGTGCGGCAGCCCCAGGATCGACAGGATCTCCCGCTGCATCTCTCTGCGCTCCTGGCTCTTCAGCCGACGGTGGATGAAACTGGAGTGGAACTCGTTATCCAACGTAAAGTTCGTAAAAGCGGTGTCCGCGAGGACGCAGTAGCTCCAAACCAAGAGCAAAGCGGGAGCACGTCTATCCAGGATCGGTGCCATGGTACTTGCCGTGCGTAATTGCGCTCAGTTCTGTTCGCCGAGATTCTGGGGAAAAAATGGATATTGAACTTGTAGCAACAGGCGGCCTGTGTTCAATATCCAACGTCAGGTACGGACCCTCATGTTGAGGGGAGTGCTCCCAAATGAAACATCAACTTCACTTCAAGAGTCCTTTTGTTGATCGGTTTTCTGGGCAGAATTGTGCTCGCGCGGACTTCTGTCCTCATCCGCAGCCTGCGGCCAACAGCTACCAACTGTAGTGCAGCGTGCAACTGCAGAGAGGAGGCTGCGGGCAGACGCGTTTCACCGGGAGAGACACGGACAAGTTGTGAGGAGGCGCTGTGAGCTGGGAGGAGCAGGAGAGAGAGAGAGAGGGGGGAGAGGGAGAGAGAGAGAGAGAGAGTGTGTGTGTGTGTGTGTGTGTTGTGGTTTCTAATGGGCACAGGGCGAAGTTGGCCTTTGTTACCAGTTGAGAAAGACTCGTGGCTGTACGAATACAAAAAAAGGATCAGGAAGGGATTTGTATCATGATGCTCCAGTTTATGATAAAAGCATATTTCGTCATTTCTTTCCCACAATTCCTAGGGCCTGCGTGTTTGTGTGGATTCAATAATGGCAGATGTCCGGACAGTGACAATAGGCCTTTCAGTGTTAGTGTCCTTATGGAAAATAACTACATATGAGTGAGTAATTATTTTGCCTGTGTGGGTGAGTAGCCTATACTTCATTACTGGGGGAGAGGTTGCAACATGCAAGTTGCAACCTACCTCACTGCCCTCAGCGATCTGCAGATGCACTCTCTGAATACCTTGGTTCAAGGTAAAAGTTGGCCTTCTTTTGATGTCAAAGGGGCAGTATTACAGCATCGCAACAGCCATTTCATGCTGCATTTTTGCAGATATCCAAACTTCCTATCCCCACTGCTGGAGCAGGAAGTTTGTGACAAAGGCGGCGGTGCACAGAGAGAGAGCAGGGGTGCAGATGTTTGGCAGCTGCTTCATCCCTCCATCTGCCCCTCCTGGCCCCAGCACCTCTTAAACACCACACTTTAATGGAACGCTCCTGACCCTGTTGGGCGACGCGGGCGGAGGGATTTTCAGATGCACTGCTTTATCTAGACAGACCTCCTAAAAGATTTTCACTGCGCAGGGAGTGGAGTTTTAAAAGCCTCTGTAGTTGAGATGTTTTTGGGCTATACGGCTTGCCAGGTGATTTTTACGACAATAAAATTAAGACTTCAATGGCACAGCAAGAGAGGCTGCCAGACGACTTAAGCTATGATTGCAAACAGAGGAAGGGAAAGGAGGCAGAGCGTGTCTTGGGGTCTTCTACACTTAGCTCACCTTCCTGCCCATTTAATGTGGTTGTTCTTGCCTTCAAAGGCCTTACACTCCTCTTTTTTCCAATGACAATTCAACATGGCTTAAAGCCTGAAAGCTTACATGGCCTGCCACGTCTCATTCTGTATATCTAATCCTGTATTTGCTTTTAAATGGCCTTTCAGTAGTAGCCTCTAACATATAAACATTTCTATCCGGTGCCCCAGATAGAATCAGCTAATGGCCGCAGGTGTTTACATTACAGCAGTTTCCGACAGGGGACTTGAAAAGGTCCTGGTTTCAGTTATAACTATACATCTTCCCCTCTAACTCTCGCTGTTGTTCACTCATTCTCTTGCTCTCTCACCCTTGCTGTAAGGTTGGTGAGCCCCCCCCCCCCCGGTGCTCCTGCAACAACCACAAGCCCTTGGCTCAGTTTGTGCCCAGAGAGGGGCTGACAATCCTGGGGCAGAATAATAGGAACAGACCCCCCTTTGTTTGGGCCTCCATGGGCCTGATGACAGTCACAGTAAACAGTGGGCACAGGCTGAGGCCAGGCTGGGTGAGCTGAGGGGCCTTCGACAAGGAAAACTAAAGCAGAAAATCTGAACAAATGGCGTTTGAACCTTCAGTCGGCGACACACACACACAGCAAAAAAAAAACGTGATTTCTCTCAAGTATTTCACACTAAACTCAATATTTTGTCTGAGTTACAGACAACCACTGACATATTTAGACGTGCAGTGATACACACTGTCAAGACGATAAAGTGGTAAAATAAAACATAGGCTAGACTGATAATGGCTGCCCGGCAAATTATGAGAGTGGAGGGCAGAACTGTGGAGAATTGGACAGCTGTATAACCATGACTGTGAAGTGTTATACTACAAGGGCTTACAAAGGTGAGCTCACAAAACTTTTACATGTCATATTTATGGTCGGTTGCTTCTTCCTGTGCTCTGTAGGCTGTATTTCTATCTTAAATTTAGCTCAAATTCAGCATTTTGCCCCGGGGATTTTGAGTGAACACTTACACTCTTCCCACAGTGATCTAAGACAATCAGCACAAATACACACCTCCCCACTCCAACAGGTTGGAGCACGATACTAAGCTCCACAGGAGACCACACAGCAGAGCAGCGAAACCCCCTCTTTCAACAAGAGCTCAAGATAACACTTTTCATCTCCACATAATATCCTTCTCTCTTTCTCTTCTACGGTAAGAGTTGGTGCCTTTCCCCTCTGCCTGCTTATCTCTATTTAGGAGCTCAAAGCACGCGGTCAGAGGTCAGATTAATATTTATTTCATGTGTTGCCTCAGAGAGCAGCAGGCAGCAGTCCTTTGAAGGCCTGTGTACGCGGGGGGGCGGATGAGGTTCCGTGGAGGGGGGTCTGACCAAGCAGACCCACAGACGATACAGTAAAATTTTCTTTAGGGTAAACTGACCCTCAAATGAAGCAGTGTGGGGTCGGGGTGCAAGGACAAGAGAGGGTGGAAGCACATTTTTCCCTCCCCCCCCACCCTGTCCTCTCCGCCCTTGTCTACATTTTTGGTGTAACCCCACTGTGTGCACTGCCCAAACCAGCGGCCTGTTAAAACAGCCAAACCAGGTGGAGCTGAGCTATTGCAAATGTCCCCCTTCTGGTGTCTCACACTTCCAGAGGCCTCATGAACATATGAGACGCAGCTGTGAGACAGGCAGAAGAAAGAGAGGGGGTGGGAATATGAAACAGCTTCAAAATAGTTCACTTTGCGAATTCCATTCAGGTTTGGGGTCTGATAGCATTTTACACAATGTGGATCCATTATTGAACTATTGAATCCATGTGCTCTCCCCTTATCAAATCGATTTAGCATTTATCCAAGTTACACATCACTTCCTCTAAAGAACTAAAAACTCAAGTTTTGCCAAGATAGATTACTTATTTAGCAATATAACTATTTGTTCACGCTCAGTACTGACGACACAAATAAGAGGAAATAGATAAGAGAAAAGAGTTATTTGTTCTGAACTATAACTAAGATTCAGACGCAAATACAAATTGGAAATTGCAAATGCAACCCAATCCCGTTCCCTTTCTCCTTTTCTGCATTATTGGTTTGGCATTACTATAACAAATGAGTTCACATGTCAAAATGACATACAGAGATTTTCTGCTGAGGAATACACGATTCTCTTATTTGAAATGCTGCACCTTGTAATCCTCCCTGCCATCACTCAGTATCTACTTTGGCCTGTATCCGGTACGTCCTGTCACACCTGCGTCTGTCTGCAGTCGGATATGGCACTAGGGAACACCAGAGACGCTTGGGTCTGATTCATAGCTCTCAGCAGTCCAGCCAGACCCATCAGTCATAGTTGGTGTGACTGACAGTCAGAGATACCGTTTTAGCTAAGCCTACCAAAATGCCTGGCTTAGTAAAGCTTATCCATCACAGGATGTTATCACTCAAGGCGTTCTGTCACTTGTGTCATCGGCACAGAGTCCAGGCTTGACACTGAGCTGGTCTCTTCACCAAGCCACATACTTATCAGCATCCATTACTGAGGTGTGAGGGCCTGATAAAGGTCTACCCAGGTCCATGCAGCTCAAGGCAGAGGTCCCGTTTAGATTGTTGTCTGTGCTGAGAGAGAGGCCTTGCCCCTTTGACTCTTGCTCTCACCACTCTGTACGGCTGTGCTGCTCTGTCAATCAGAGAGGACCCTGGGTGATCAGTCAGCGCCTCTTTATTGGATGCAGGCCTGAGGAGCCATTAGAGAGGAGGCGGAATAGCCAGACTGGCCCAGGCCAAGAGCTGATGAGAAACAGAGGAGCTGGAGAGCCCGAGGAAGAAAGTGGAAGTGGGGAGGAGGGCAGAGGAGCAGGAGGTGGATGTGCTGAACTATGTGGATTGTGAAGGGAGGGCAGCTCTGTTTTCTATTTGTGAGGATTAGGTTGACAGATCTGTATTTAGTTTCTTTGGGCCTCTAGCTGCAGCTAATCCCCCTCACCTGCAGCGAGTGCCCCCACTCTCTTTCCTCTGACCCTGCAGCCCCCTATGCTTCCCCCCTCCTGCCCAGCACAAACACTCGTCCCGAGACAAGCACATGACTCGTTGCACTCTGTCTCCTCAGGTTAGGGCCTCACACTCGACACAAATCTCTCCCGGCCCAAAGGAACAGCAGGGGTCTCAGTCTTTCTGGAACAGAAGAAAAAGGACCCCCACAAACTTCCACATGTTACAATTTTTTTTTTTCAGCTTGGGTGAGGGGTTGTCCCTCATCACTTAGAGATAGCAATTACTCAGAAATTAAGAGCCATTACTACGGAAGCAGCTTGTCAAAGCCACTCAGGGGAAAGGGGAACCTTTGGTAAAGCTGCACATTAGGAAATATTCAGGGTCAGGTCAGGGGCACAGACCTCTTCTCTTTAGATCCTGGCTCCCACACACTCTGGCCAGGCCTTCACACTGTGAACGAAAGACCGCAGTGGCTCAGCAAACACACACAGCATGCCTGCCAGCAATTCTTGAAGGTGGGGACTCTGGATGACCTAATAGTTTTAGAATCTAAAGCACATTTCTCTGTTCAAACAATAGATTGACATGACTGCAACATAATGCAACAAAGAGACTGAAACAGGTTTTGAAAGGTTGTCGATGAAGCAATATGTGGGATTCCCTCGAGGCGTCGTATTCATGTAATGTCATTGACATGTTTGGAGCTTACAGCTGTCATTAGTCAATTACTGTCTGATATAGTGAACTTAACTGCTCCAATACAGAATGAGTTACACTTACAACATCTAACTGACACAGCATTATCTTTACACACAGCCATCATCAAAAATATATATCAAAATTGCTTCCATGTGGCTGACAGATACAATATTTAGTGTCTCTGACGACTGTCAATTACCTCCCACCCACCCTACTGCAAACCACCACACACACTCTCACACACTCACACACACACACACACAAACAGAAACAT